CTACCCACAACCTCTTCCATTGCACTGGGCTCCGGGCCCTGGGTGGCACTGATAAGGACTGGACCCAAGTTGTAGCATCTCCGTTGACTTCCCCGGTGGAATGTTCAGCGTGACCATTTGTTTGGAATTGTTACTCTTTGGTATTTGCCTCTGTAGCTCATTAGCACTAGAATGTAAATCTCCAGACTCCCCAAGGAGAAAGAGAGAATGAAAAAAGAACCTAGAGCGAGAAAGACAAAGAGAAAACTCCCCCGAGAACACAGTGCGGGAGCCCACCTCTTTCACCACGGGGTATGAATAATTCCCCTTGATTTACACAGATCAACTAGACCCCTGCGGTACCAGAGCTGAAAGGTGAAACACCTGCACCTCCAAATAAATCCTACCGGGGAAGATCCTATCGAGCTCTGGTGGCTTGCACAGGAGCGACCCTCAAGCCTTGCCCTGCAATCAAATAGTCTTCCCAAAGATCAGCCAGGGGCTGAAAGGTGGAAGGAAATCCACCTCACCAGCCCTCCTCACCAGCCCTTGCGTTGGATCTCATCTCGGGGCAAGCACAAAGGCCGGGGAACAAGCCTGGCCCAGCAGAACATTACCTGCCCCTCACGTGCAATAAGCCAAGCCAAGAACGGGCCCAGAGTGACTCACTTCTATGTTCTGCAGGCTCAGATCCACAAGCACAAGCAAGTGCAGAGGGAAGAACGGGGCCCGTCCATTACACATTTCTTAACCTTGTTGCTAATAAGGCCTTAGATCGCTGCTGCTGAAATCACTCAGGAAGTAAACAGCCCGGCTCTCAGTTATATTTGCTTCCCCGTATGCTCCTAAGGCAGAGCAGAGGGGGTGGAAATGCCCCCTGAGTATCGCCCTGTGCAGGAGTCTCCCCAACTGGTGCACAGCTGTCAGAAGGGCTCTCTGCTAGCCGCGTGCCCAGCCCCTGGTGCGCTGTGGCCAGCAAGTTGGGGCCATTCTGTGCTTCCCACTGCCGGGCGGGGGCCTTGGGAATCGGAGCAGCCCTGAGGCCTCTGTCAATGTCCTCAGTCTATCGACTTTGACTGAGCACAGGAGTCCGTGCTCAGAGCCGCCCAGGGACCGCGCCTGGCTCCCTTTACCTGGAGTTTGTTCACCATCTCCTCAAACATCTTCCTGGCTTCGGGGCTGTTCGGCTCCTTGAAGTAGTCCACAATGCCCACCTGCACCACAATGGACTTGAGGTTCCGGCAGACACCTGGGGCGACAGAGAGACGGTCGGGGTGAGTGACATGTGGGGAGCAGTGCTCGGGTGCCGTGCTGATCGCAGGCTGTGATGGTCAGTAGGGCCACAGGGACTTCCGGAGCACAGGCCCTATTCACAGTCAGTGGCACTCGTGCCGTGTCACAAGGGGGACCGAGCCTTTTAAGCAGGAAAGGCCCAGCCCATCTGTGTCTCAATAACAGCCTCTGGATAAGGCCCGATAGAGGGCTGCTGCGCTCTATGAAGAGCCAGAGAGGAACGGGAAAAAGCTGTGGCAGGGTGAAGCCGCAGGTGAGTCTGGGACTTCAAGTCCAGGGAGGGCTGGAAGTGGCTTGGCAAAAGCAGGGAAGAACCAGGTTGAAGCAGGAAGGCTGGGATCCTCTCCCAGGCAAAACACTCCAGGTGGGAAGGCTGGGGACGGGTCGAGGGGAGACGAGGCTCCCTTTCTGGGAGAAGCCCCAGCACTGAGTATTGTTGTGAATTATATATAAAGATATTAGACCCAGGAGGGGAACGTTTTAAAGACTCTGCACTGGTGGAGTTTATTTAAGAAGCTCTGGAGAGGGCAAACGGAGGCAGGGCACCTGCTGAGCAACCGCTGGCCATGAGGGGGTGGTCACGGTGTTACCTGCCTCTAACTGATTCAGAGGCGTTTGAAAACTCCACCCTTGAGGCAGAAAAGGCCCTCTATTGACCTGTTTATCCCAGGCCTCATCCTGCCCCTAGAAGGTTTTCTCCTGCTGTCCACTCCAGTTTGCAATGACTCCAAAAATGGTGGCACCCACCACGACCCCAGCAGACTTTTACACCTCTCACCATTGGGAAGCGTTTCTGGATATTCCACCTACAATTTCATCCCAGGATGCCTCAACCATACTCCCCACCGCACTGAGCCGGCCAAGGCTGGAAGTGACACACCCCACCTGCTTAACACTGCTGGGGATCTGTAGCAATGAAGATCTCTGGTCCTCATGCACGTGCTGAGGACCAGATTGTGACCTCCATTACAACAGGGTAAATCCACGGACAAATTAGTAGAACGACTCCAGATTTCTACTGGTGTAAACGGAAGCAGAATCTGGCCCGTAGTCTAGGACACCAGCAAGGGGCTGAGACTGTCCTCAGTGACTATTTAAACAGGATGGGTTGTTTTGCCCGTTAGCTGCTCCGACAACAGTCCTGCAGGGGGGGCTATGGCTGGGAGTTAAAGCGAGGCTCTGCAGAGCCGGCGGTCGCTACTCACTGTTGAAGTGCAGCAGGGCTTTGGGGGTGACAGGCGTGGAGGTCAGCACCAGCATCTCCAGGCCCTTCAGGCCCTCCCGACACACCTCTGCCGCCACCTCCTGGTTAATTTCCGTCACGTGGTCGAGTTCCAGCACTTGCAGCCGCATGCAATTACGAGCTGGCGAGACGAAGAATACAGGGTCGGCTCGGTCAGCGCTCCCGGGAGTGGCAGCACTTAGTGGGGAGAAGCAGCCTGGGGGTGTGTGGGTGGGGGGGTCTGGCCTGAAGCTGCCTGAACATTTTGATGTTGGGAACATGAAGGATATGATGGGAAGGGAGGCTGGGCCTGTGTGTTGGCGAATGGGGACCGGAGGTGGGACTAGGGTGACCAGACAGCAAGTGTGAAAAATCGGGACGGGGGTGGGGGGTAATAGGAGCCTATATAAGAAAAAGACCCAAAAATCGGGACTGTCCCTATAAAATTGGGACATCTGGTCACCCTAGGCGGGACCTGTGTGGCGAGGAGGCGGGGCCTATGTAACACTCTCTCAAGACATGGTCCACACTATGAAATGTTTGAGACTCACCCCGCCCCCGAGCTGAATGCAGCGAGTGGAAATTTTTTGGTGCCCAGGGGAATATCAGAGAACTCCCCCAATATGGACACATCACACGACATACATATCAACATTCCCAGCATGGGGCCACACCCCCAGCGGAAGGCGTCCTGTGCCCGTATCACATTCTACCTCCACTTCGCAGCAAGAGAGCGTCGATTTGCATTTACCTAAAGAAGCCAGTCCCTGAATTCCGCAGCCTGCGCCGCCGACGCCCAGCGCTCTTAAATGCGGCCAGCATCGGCCGATCATCTGAAGGCAGCGGTTGCTGAAACGTGTTGGTTGCTGGCTGCAGAGGAAGGTGTGGGGGGGAAAATGAGAAATTGATAAATTATCCCAGTTACCGTAATGTCACTGAAACACAGTCCTCCAGCATTGGGAAGAGAACTCATGACCTTCTGCTTCAAAATGCAGGTTGCTACCCTTAGAGGTAAGGAAGTAACACTAGTCACAGCCTCTAGTAATAGGTCTTATACCCTGTGTGTGTTTGTCACACTAGAAGGCAATGCATTTTCAGAGGGCTTGGTGTTCCTTCCAGCAGAGGTACTGGGTACTTCAGTGACCCATTTCTAAAGTTCTTGTCCACCTGCCCAGCCACTGAAAAAAGTCATTTCCACATATCTTGACCTGGGTGTGCCATAAGTCAGGTAGAGTTAGGGTACGTAATGCTATTGCCTAACATCTACGAGGGCAAACAAAAGGGAAGATTCTCAACTGTACGGAAGAGAGGAGGTGAATAACCTGACCTGATTTCTACCTCCCCTGAACTGTGCTGTTATCTAAGTCATGAACCTATTAGCACTTAGAGATTTTTTCTGTACTTTGTAGAGTGGGGAGACCTCCAGAATCTTAATGCCAGAAGATCACAGGCTTTAAAAGTGAGAGAAATGACAGTCATCTATTAAACAGCGAGACTCAACACCCTTCTATAAACACACAAGCCCTTCGGGGCTGCTATTACATAAGCAGCAACGAGCTCTGGCAGCGGTTTGATGTTCAGGATTCCCATGCCTTTCATCTCGGACGCATCAGGATCCTTGGCAACGTTTGCATCACTGTTAGATGCATCTGCAGATGCCTAAGACTTTTTAGCCTTTATATCTAGAGACGGGGTTGAACTCCCCATCCCAACGTCCTCAGACTTTGGCTCCAGGATTTTGGTTCAGCCCAGAGGGCCCAGCTATGACATTTGGACCTGGAACCCAACTTCTTCCAAGTCCAGGGGTAGAGCGGGGATGGGAAGAGGTGAGGTGGGGGTGGGGCCTTAGGAGAAGGGGTAGAGTGGGGGCAGGGCTTGGGGTTCAGAGGGGCTTGACCACTCCTGGGAAAAATTAGAAGCTGGCTTGGGGGGTCCACGGAAAATTTTACATCAAAATGGGGGTCCTCAAGTTGAGAACCGCTGCTCTAGACTGTCCCTCCGCAGAGCGGGTGATTCGGTGTTACTCTTACCAAGGGTGCAGCGGCGCCACCTGTAGCGAGATGATGTCCCTGCAGCCTGCTCCCAATGCCCAGATGACTTCATGGCCCACAGGGTCTGTACAGCTCCTGGAACAAGACAAAGAACCTGCTTTAATAGTCCCCAGCAGAGACGCAGCCCAAGAGGTTCTTTGAAATCTTACGGTGCCAAAGGGTGGAATTGCCTAACGTAGCGCTGGCTAATCTCCATAGCCCTTGCATCTGGGAGGGGCTTGTGTCTGGAAATTCAGGCCGGGAGAACAGCAAAAGGTTATTATTAATGCTCCACATTCTTTCTGGGGAAAAAAAACCACCACCATCACCTCTTATTCTTCAAGCCATTTGCAGGAACCAAGTTCTTATCTTTTAATGGAAGAAGATGGGACCATCAGGGTGACCAAAGTAAGTTCCACCTTACATTTGGCCCGTGCACACGTGGCACCACCAGAAGGAAAGAAGAGGAATTTAGCCCTGACTCGAGTGTTTCATAGACTGAGATCCCACATCCAGGCACTGAGCTGGGACAGCGTGGGCAGCCACTGTGCAAATTTCCTCTCCCGTCCTAGCAATGGGCTTCAATCCCGACCCCTCTTGTGAGCGAGAGGGGAACTGGAGGGTGGGGTTGGGGGGGAGAGTATATCCAAAGGTACAAGGGGGCATCCAGCTCTCATTGGGAGCCAATAGGAGTCGGGCATCTCACTCCTGTTTGTCTCGCCCTCCGAGTCGTACGAACTGTCACAGGTCTAGCCAAGTGCCCCTTCGTGGCTACTCACTCACCAGACTGTAGCTGCTGGATCATGTGTGTTTTAAGCCTTCAGGATCTGAACAGAGTCCAGTCAATGCCCCAGGCTTGGGGTCCCTGGGCATACACTCTGTGTGCAGTTCCTCTCTCCACCACCCGCTCCTGGGAGTTTAGACCTCATTGTCCCCTTGCCCAGCCCCTAGAATCAATGTTAACTCCTCAGACACCCCCCCGTCCCCACACATGAGCTTAAACACCCCCTCAGCCAGAACTCCAGCCAAAGTCAAGGGGCGTGTGCCATGCAATGTGCAGGCACAAGATCCCAAAACACTCTTGCTCTTTACTTAAGCTTGAGAAATATGGAGAGAATCCAGATCACGTAGAACACACCACACATCCTGCATGCAGCGGCCTCTCTCTAGCTCACCTGTCCTTTGAGAGACTGTCTGTATCCAGGTAGGCAGAGTTCCCCTGACTCCCCTCAGCTTGAGCTGGTGAAAATGGCCAAAGACGAAGATCCTGAATAGATCAGTTCCTTTCCAACTGCCTGCATCTCTCTCTGAGACAGTCTCCCCCTCTGTGACTCCTTTTACAATCTCCTGCTTTCATCACCTTCACTTTGTCCTGCGTAGGGAATTTCCACTGTCTAAACCCCCAGCCCGAAGACCAACTTGCCTAAACTGGTCTCCCAACTCAGGCATCCTCTTTAGCATAACTATTGTGTGCTCATGACAACTCTCCATTGTCAGCCCTGAACCACTGCCCACTGGCATTTCAGTCCAATATGGAGGTAAAAAGGCAATGGAGAAGGTAACTAGCTCCCACATTCAAAATGAAGTTGGCAGTTTGGTAAAGATGTATAGAGAGTTCATAATCTCACATGTATAATTTATGAATTCTGATTCCCCAAATCCCCATGCAATGCTTGGCTCTTTGAGCCTGCCAGCAAGGGTGTTAATTAGTCCTAATGGTTAATTAGTCCTCTAGAACGTACTCTAGGGTGACCACTTTCACGTTCCTGGACTACGGGACATTCTGGCACCTGTGGGAACAGTGGGGACCTGCCCCTGCCTGAACGACCTCGTATACAGCGTGTGTGTAAGGTCATGCCGGAGGGGGTGGAGCAGTGTGCTATTCAAAATGGCGCCCTATGGTCTAATACTGGTCAAAACTACATCCCACAGGGGATAAACGTCTCTGAAAAAGGACTGTCCAGAGTGAAGCCGGACTAGCAGCCCAGACCCAATTCAAACCAGCAGCCTCCCATGGTGTTACCAACCCCCTGTGCTACCCAGTCCCACAGAGCAATGGAAACCCCTGAGGAGCGAGCCCAACCTTCTAATTTTGAATGACCCAGTTCTAAACTTCAAGCGAACCTAAAAATAAGCCAATGGTGTTATCTTGAGCGCTCGTACGTCTCCCACAAAGCCGCCTGCCAAGATTCCTTTACGAGTTCGGCTCGTCCTTAATTAAAACATATGAGTCATGGTGACAGGTGAACAAGCTGCCAAGCGCCTCGAGTGCACATGAATATTCGGGGCTGCTGGAGCCATTAAAAGCGAGGAAGGACGCAGCAGCAGATAAATTAAGCGACAGACCGTCATCTCGCATCCCACTCGCATTCATTTGCGGGCCCAGGCTCTGAATCAGGGTCTAATGTGTTTTGCACAATGGGAGCGGTGCTGGAAGAGGATCCGGAGGGAATGCAGCCAGCACTGCCATCCCAGCGGGTTGCATGTAACATATCTCCCTCGACAGCTGCATTTTAACGCTGGAAATACTTGTAAGCGCTTCGGAGCGAGAGCCGCCGCTTGCTACATGTATGTGCAGCGCCGAGCACAATGGGGCACCCATTTCACTGGGGCCCTCTAGGGGCTCCCATAATACACAGAGATTATAACGGCACTCGAGGACAATGGGGAGACTAGATAGATCAGGGATTGGTAATGGGTGACACAGCCTTTCACTCCTAGCCACAGCAGTTTGTGTCTTGTGATCGAGAGGCAGCGTGGTCTGGTGGTGAGGCTAGAGGGCTGAAAACCCAGAGGTTCTTGGCTCTGCTTGCAGCTGGCAGTGAGATAGCGCATAGTAAGGAGCATTACCCCACAAAACACACGTGGCCATCTCCATCACGCGGCCATCTCCTCCATCTTCCTGATCCAGAGAGATGCTGTCACCTAGACCAGACGAGGCAGGAACGAGATGAGATCCCCGTCTCCATGGCTACATCCTGAGCAGGGAAACCAAGGTTCCTGCTCCGTGCTGTGTTAATTTCCTTTCTCATCTTACTCCTCCTACCTTTTGTCCTCTCTTTGCCTTCTGTCTAATCAGAGCCCAGCTAAGCCAGCCGGGGCAGATCTAACCTCACAATAATTTGCTGCGACCAGCGTGGCAGACCCCTGAGCAGCCGGGTCTTGGTAAAGAAAGCACCCACAGACTGGGCAGACAAGAGGAAAGGAACCTGCCAGGTATATTCCAAAGCTAGTGTCCAGGACCGTGTGCTCTGTGGTGCGCTTTGCCTGCCAGCCACTGAACTGCAACCCAGAGAAAGAAGCTGCCTTTTCTGTCTTCCCTTTTCATATAACCATAACAACATAAGAACGGCCGTACCGGGTCAGACCAAAGGTCCATCTAACCCAGTATCCTGTCTACCGACAGTGGCCAATGCCAGGTGCCCCAGAGGGAGTGGACCAACAGGCAATGATCAAGTGATCTCTCTCCTGCCATCCATCTCCATCCTCTGACAAACAGAGGCTAGGGACACCATTCCTTACCCGTCCTGGCTAATTGCAATTAATGGACTTAACCACCATGAATTTATCCAGTTCTCTTTTAAACGCTGTTATAGTCCTAGCCTTCACAACCTCCTCAGGTAAGGAGTTCCACAAGTTGACTGTGCGCTGCGTGAAGAAGAACTTCCTTTTATTTGTTTTAAACCTGCTGCCTATTAATTTCATTTGGTGACCCCTAGTTCTTGTACTATGGGAATAAGTAAATAACTTTTCCTTATCCACTTTCTCCACATCACTCATGATTTTTATATACCTCTATCATATCCCCCCTTAGTCTCCTCTTTCCCAAGCTGAAGAGTCCTAGCCTCTTTAATCTCTCCTCATATGGGACCCATTCCAAACCCCTAATCATTTTAGTTGCCCTTTTCTGAACCTTTTCTAGTGCCAGTATATCTTTTTTTAGATGAGGAGACCACATCTGTATGCAGTATTCGAAATGTGGGCGTACCATTGATTTATATAAGGGCAATAATATATTCT